AAATTTTTAAATTTATTTATTAAAATTAAGTTTATTGGTACATTTTAGATATACATAATGATCATATATCTCATAGAGAATTTGTGCCTGACATGATTTTTTTTTTTTTTTTGCGGTACTGGGATCAAACTCAGGACCTTGCGCTTGCCAGGCAGGTGCTTGTGCCACTGAGCTATATCCCCAGCCCACATGATGTATTTTGATTCCTCTTTTTTCCTAATCCTCTCTTTTCCCTTTAACCACTCTCTTTCCCTCCCTATTTACAAAGCTTTGTTTCCATTTAATCCTTATTTAAAATCAGTTTTTGGTGTCCTTTTTTTAAAAAAAGAAATTATGTAAACCTTTTCCTGTGTAAATAACAGCTTATCAGCTTGTCAAAGCTGTGCCAGCATTCCATTGTTTACTGTCCTTTGAGCAAGCCCTACCCACAGCTGTCAGGCTGCATGATTTGTTTTTTTTTCTTTCTTTTTCTTTTTTTTCTTTTCTTTTCTTTTCTTTTCTTTTCTTTTCTTTTCTTTTCTTTTCTTTTCTTTTCTCTTCTCTTCTCTTCTCTTCTCTTCTCTTCTCTTTCTTTTCTCCTTCCTTCCTTCTTTCCTTCCTTCCTTCCTTCCTTCCTTCCTTCCTTCCTTCCTTCCTTCCTTCCTTCCTTCCTTCTTTCCTTTGTTTTGTTTTCTGAGACAGGATCTCACTGTTAGTTCAGGCTGGCCTTGAAATTCACTATGTAGCCCAGGTTGACCTGAACTTGCAGCCATCTTCCTGTGTGTGTCATCACACCTGGCTTGATGTGTGTTCAAACATCATAGTATGGCTATTTATTATTTTGGTAGAGATTACTACGAATATTTCTTGAGATATTTCCCAGAGTGCAATCTTTTGTTTTGGTGTGTATATTTGGCTAGCTTCTTGTTGGTAAGAGAGAGTAAAGTCTACAAATGTCCTACATTTATGGTTTGGAATATCCCACTAATTTTGGGATTCCAGTTTCTTTCAGAGAAAAAAAAAGGATTCAGGTATGGAGATCAGCCAGACCAAGTTTGGACATAAAGCTTTTCAGAGAGTGAAGAGAATTCTTTTCTCTGTTGCAAGGTGGCCTCTCAGGGCCACACTACTAACGAACGGTAACCAAGCCACAGGGATGGATACAGCCTGCCTTCCTTGGCACCAGCCTGTGTGGGTTGAATGCGTTAACCACAGTGTTTTCAGCCTGCCTTGAAGACTCAGTATTCTTGCTGCCAGGGACAGATAAAACATTATCTTTTTTTTTAATTTTTAAATTTTTAAAATTTTTTACAGGAAGAAAGCTTTAATTGGAAGGTCATAGGGAGGACATGAAAGGATCCAGTTTGGCTGGAAGGGTCGGTCTGATATAGGGGTTTAGACTGGCCCTCCACATAGGCGGAAGGCAGCTGTCAAGGACTGGCTGGTAGGCTGGGGTCTGGGTGATCAGTGTGTCATCATCTCGGTCATAGCTCTTGGATTTTGATAGCTAAGGGATGGTTTACTTCCCAGAAGAGGACTCTGAGCCCATGGGGGTCTCATTCACGTGGGACTCCCCCTTCCCTGAAATCCCAGTGATCACAGGTTCAGGACAGTGGTTGGGACTCCTGGGAGTAGCTAAATGTCTCTGTAATCCTCTCACATCCTGAGGCCTCCGACTAGGGATTAGACCTTCCGAATTCAAGGCTGATCAACCCTGTCCAGCCAGATCCTAAATGACCACCATGCCTCATGCAGAGCTGAGAAGAGATCTGACCCAGGATTTACAGTGACAAGGACACAAATGACAGTTGAGCTGTTTTCTGCTGTTAGTCATCTGTTGGGCATCTGTAGCCTGAGTGAAGAGTCGTGGTTCATGGCAAAAAAGGCATTTAAGTCTCGCCTGTCCTAGAAGAAAACAGAAGTCACACTTTAATGAGCAGCTGGCAAGGGCCTTAACGTTGGTCCTCAGTTGCTGAACATCCACAAGGTCAGTTACACCAGTCTCCATGTGGGCAGTAGAGCCCATCCTGTAGTAATTCTCCCTGGACACTGGGAGACTGTGTCAGATCCCATCCATCTTACAGGGAATGGCCTGTTTTCCTAAAGTATTCTTCAGGTTGTATGTTAGAAGTCATAGCCTTCCTTCTAAGTATCTTGGTGGGACCTCCAAGATGATACAGGGGAGATGCTTGATGTCAAATATGCTGTTTGTGTCCCTCGAAGTCAAAGAGTTAATTCTAAGGAACAATAGAAGTTAAACGTAGGAAAATTTATTGGAGAGTAGGAATGGGGGAGTGGGGAACAGGAATAGCTTCTGAGAGACAGAAGAGGTCCTGAATGGGTTGCCCTACATTATCTTTTTTTCCTAAGAAAATCAGTAAATCATGTTTCGAGTTTAGAAAACTGTGTTAGTAGTAGACAGCAGAGCTCTTTTTTGCTTTAAACAAAAACCAGACTACATATTAGCCAGGTGTGGTGGCACACACTTGTAATCCTAGCACTAAAGAGGCTGAGGTAGGAGACAGATTGCTGAGAGTTTGAGACCAGCCTGGGCTACATGAGTTCAAGATCAGTCTGAAATACAAAAGCAAGCCCTTGTCTCAAAACAACAGGCTGGACCTGGTTGGGCAGGCCTATAATCCCAGCACTTGGAAGGCAGGAGTTCAAGGCTAGCCTGGGCTACAAAGTGAGTTCAAGGCCAGCCTGAACTGCATAGTAAGACCTTGTCTCAAAATAAAAACAACAACAAAACCTACATACTGTTGGTAGTATGCATGAGAATGAGACCTTTTGCTTCTTCCGTTTTCCCTCTTTTTAGGGTAGGGTGTGTGTGTGGCGGGGGGGGGGGGGGGGGGGGGGGACATGGGGTACTGAGGATTGAACCCAGGGTCTTTGGGCGTGGTAAGCAAGTGCTTTACCACTGAAGAGGCCCCCCAGTTTAAAAAATTTTCACACAGTATCTCAAAGTTTTTCAGGCTGACTTTGAGCTGTATTCCTTCTGCCTCAGCCTCCTGAATATCTGAAATTACAGGTGTGTGCCATTGTGCCCAGCTTGGATTCTTTTCTTTTTTTTTTTTTAATTTAACAAGTATTCATTGAGAACCTAGTATTTTCCAGGTTTTGGAGCTACAGTGGAAAAGGGAGCTGTGGCCCTGCCCCAGGGGCCAGAGTTGAGCTTCTCACGGACTAGAGGACAGAGTTAGGGGCTGGCAGAGAGGAATAAGAGGGTGTGTGTGTGTATGTGTGTGTGTGGTGTCCGTAAGGAGAGATGGCACAAGTAAAGTCCTGCACAGAAAGAGCAGATGCCAAAGTGAGCATCAGTGGAAGCCAGCTCTCTCTTCACCATTTTTTTTTTTTTTTTTTTGTCTTTTTGAGACAGAGTCTCTCTATGCAGTTCAGGCTAGCCTTGAGCTCACTTTGTAGCCCAGGCTGGCCTCAAACTCACTATGATCCCCCTGCCTCAGCCTCCTGAGTGCTACCTTTTTGTATTTTTAAGAGAAGCAAAAAGTTTTGTTGCTTAAGGAAGACTACATTCTTCCAGAATGAACAATTATTATCAAATAAAGCATAGCTAATATTTTAATCACTTACATAATCACTCTTATGCATCATTACAATTAGGTGCAGACAGCAGGAAGCTTACCTGCAGTTGGTAGCCTGTACACCCAATCACACTTGTTCCATCTTGGCAGTACTTAACCTGCTAACAGCCTGGAGTCTGCAGCCTTTAAGTGCCTGTCTGTGTCCTTAGCATGGCCATGCTGTCTAGAGGCTATGGGACCTTTTACTGTACCCCTTCTGGACAGCCCAGCACCCTATTGTCTCTGCTACCTGAATGCTGAGTGGCTGCAGGCATATCTTGGCTCTTGGGATCCCTAGGGTTGTGAAGCACAGCTTTTTTTGTTGTTTTTGGTTTTTTTTTTTTTTTTTAGGTTTTTCTCCGGTACTGGGAACCGAACTCACGACCTTGCGCTTGCCAGGCAGGTGCTTTGCCGCTGAGCTAAATCCCCAGCCCCTGTTTTTGGTTTTTGTTTTTTTTTGTCTTTTTGAGACAGGGTCTTGCTATGCAGTTCATGCTGGCCTTGAGTTCACTTTGTAGCCTAGGCTGGTCTCGAACTTGCAACGATCCTCCTGCCTCAGCCTCCTGAGTGCTGGGATTACAGGCGTGTGCCACCACGCCCAGCGGTTTTGTTTTGTTTTAACTGAAGGTTGAACCCATAGAATTCTGAGCTACATCCCAGTCCTTGTGAAAAGTTTTGAGTCAGGAGTGGTGGCACATTCCTGTAATCCCAGCACTCAGGAGGCTGAGGCAAGAGGATTGCTGCGAGCTCAAGGCCAGCCTGGGCTATTTAGTGAGTTCAAGGCCAGCCTGAACTGCATAGAGAAACCCTGTCTCAAAAGACTTTTTTTTTTTTTTTTTTTGAGACAGAGTCTAGCTGTTATCCAGGCTGACCTTGAATTTGTGATCTTTCTGCTTCAGCTTCCAGAGTACCTGGAATTAAGGGTGTATACCACCATGCCCGAGCTAGCTCTGTTTCATAAAGTGCAAATCAAGGTCAGATTTAGAAGGCTTGTGTGGGGCTTATTCCAAAGCTGGCCAAACCTTGCCTTAGTTCCTTGGTAAGAAGGCACACAGCTAGGGCAGCCTCATGACATCCTTATGAGCCATCCCATTATTCCTTGAATCTGCAGGCCTTCTCTGTCCAACCCTGAATGCTTTTTGTTGTTGAGGGTCCTTCTCCAGGAAGCCTTTCCGTGTACCATTCTCTGTGTGATGACTACCAGTCTTTGCATTCTTGTGGACTATCCTGTGCACTATACAGTTCATCAGCTTTGTACAGAAGAGAAGAAAGTGCGTCTGGTTGAGAGTCAAGACATGGTTCAAGCCGGAGGCTGAGACAGAAGGATCATTGTGAGTGGGCTACATAGTGAGCTCAAGGCCAGGCTGAACTTCATAGCGAGACCCTGTCTCAGAATGACACCCCCCCCAAAAAAAAAGATATGGTTCATTTTGTATTCTGTTTATTCATTTTAATTTTTTCATGGTGGGGATTGAACCCAGGGCCTTGCATGTGCTAGTCAAGTACTCCACCACATAGCTAAATCCACAGTCCCTACTATTTATTTTTTTCAGCATTCTTGGACATCACCAAATCTCAGTCAAAATGCAAATACAGGGACTGTGGGTGTGGCTCAGTGGTACAGCCCTTGCCTAGCATGCATGAGGAATTCCCAGCACCACATACATACATAAGTAAACAAACCAAGTACGGTCAGTAACATTTATTGAATGCTACCAAATAATAAACATTGTGCTCTGCTGTTTTCATTTAACTTGCTGTAATTAACCCCATTGTATAGATGGTGAATCTGAAGAGGAGATAAGGTTCTTTTTTTTTTTTTTGTACTGGGAATCAAACTCAGGACCTTGCACTTGCCAGGCAGGTGCTGCGCTGCTGAGCTGTATGCCCGGCTGAGAGAAGGTTCTGAAAGACTGTGTTGAGAAAATCACACACTGTAGTGTCCTAAAAGAGAAGAAAGAAAATGTAAGTAGGTACTTAGAGGAATCTCAGAGAGGGCATGCACTGTATATTAACCTGCGCATGAGACAGACTGGTTTTTTTCTTCATTATTCCTTTCAAGGGCTATTTCTTACACCTGTTTTTCCCCCTGGGCGCCTGTCTGAGGGCAGAGTATGTAGAAAATGCTCAGTCAGTATGTACCAATTAAGGTAGCTTTACATGACTCCAGGGTTGGTAGTTGTGTCTTTGTGAGTGACTTTATTATTTGTTGGTGCTACTGTGCTTCTGTTCGTCTGGAAAGTTCCCCAAGTGGGTTGCCCCTTACAGTGGCAGAGTAGAAGCCTCCAGGGATGGAAGATGAGCTTGTCGTGTTGTGGGACTGTATTTCCCTGGCTGACGAAGGTTGAGCCCTTGCAGCTGGTGATGGAAATTGGTTGGCCAATTTATTATTTACTTCAGCCCAGCAGAATTCTGAGTAGGCTGGCAACAGTCTGCTGCTAAGTGACTCACAGACAGCTGACACAGACTTCTTGGTTATCTTCTGAGCTGCTGTGTTCTACTGCACAGTGCTGGGCACAGCCTTACCTAACTAAACTCCAGCTGGCACTCTGTTCCACTGCTTTCTGTACAAGACACAGACACCAACAGGTAGGTTGTGCTGGCCTCAGGTGTACTTGTGGTGATGAGGAAGACTGGCATTGCTTACCAAGCAGAGAGATGTTGTTATCTATGATCAACCCCCGCCCCCACACTAGGGATTGAATCCAGGACCTTCACACTGAACTACATCTTCAGCCTCTTTTTAGTTTTTAGACAGGGTCTTGCTAAGTTGCTAAATTCCTCAGGCTGCCCTTGAACTTGCAATTCTCTTGCTTTAGCCTCTCAGAGTGCTGGGATTTCAGGTGTGTGCCACAGTGCCAAACTTGGTATTTTTGTTTTTTATGTTTTTGGTAGCTTTTAATATTTCTTTCTTTTTATTTTTGCTTTTAGAGACAAGGTCTCACTGTGTAGTTCAGGCTGGCCTTGAACCCACTGTGTAGGTCTCAGACTTGCAGGGATCCTCTTGCCTCAGCCTCCTAAGTGCTGGGATCACAGGCAGGGGCCACCATACCCAGCTGGTAGCTTTTTATTTCAAATGTACTGTAGTTTCAAATGTACTGAAGAGTTGTAAGATTAGCACAAAAAACCTCTTGTATTACTTTTGCCAAGATTCACTGTCAGCTTTCTTGTGAATTCCCCCCCACACTCTCATTCATCCCCTTGCATGTAGGTGTACATTGACATCCCCTTTTGAACTGACAGTAAATTGCCCCTTTACTTGTGAATGCCTCAGTGTGTGTTTCCTAATTAGTTTAACATCAGTGCAATGCTGTTAACCTTGTCTACTGTCCATTTTCCCACTGTCTGATTCACAATATGGTCCCAGTAATGGCAGTTTTATTGTAAAGAAAATAACCCTAGGATGCAGGGACGTCTCGTTGGTTATAGTCCTCAGAGGAGAGTAGAATGGCAGACATTTGAGAAGGTGGACTGCCAGGATGTTTAATCACCATTTTCTTGTATCTCAACAGAACCAAAGTAAGGGTAGCAAGAACCACTCAGCAATGTCAGCAGAAGTAGAGACTTCTGAAGGGGTAGATGAGTCGGAGAGAAAGAAACCTGTGGCCCCAGAAATGGAAAACCATATCAGGTGAGTGATGAGGGCTGGATATATCAAATTGAGGGGCCCAGCAACTTCCATGCACAACACCTGGTTTTGCTTTCTGGTAGCACTAGAAGGTGGTCATGGGGCCCAGAGCTGTGGATCCTAGAATGCCTGGTTGACACTGCAGGGGCCATGTATGGCCCTCTGGGCTTCTCGGTACTCTTATTTACTCTGTTATTTTATCCAAGGAAGTGGAAGCAGGATAGGTGCCGCTGGGGGTTGTTTTGTTTTGTTTTTGTTTTTTTTGAGACAGGGTCTAACTATGTAGCCCAGACTGGCCTTGAACTCACAGCAGTCCTCCTGCCTCAACCTCCTGAGTGCTGGGATCATAGGTGTGCATCACCACACCTGGCTTTGGGAGTTTTGAGGGGTTTTTTTGTTTTTTTTTGTTTTTTTTCCGGTACTGGGAATCGAACTCACAACCTTGCGCTTGCCAGGCAGGCGCTGTGCCACTGAGCTAAATCCCTAGCCCCTTGAGTGAGGTTTTAACAGTAGTCTTAGACATTTTTTCTTAAAAACCTAAGGGGTTTTTCATTGAGCTAAGTGGTAATCAGGCAAAGCTGGCTCCTTTCACAGTGTCTTCCTCAGGGCAGGCTTTATATCTTGTATTCAAGGCCACCTCTCTATAAGCCTTAAATTACTGGACCCTATCCTCCATTATTCTTATCCTCTCATTAGAGCCCCATCATTAGAACTAATCCCTTGATTCTTTTTATACTTAGAAATAGTTTCTAATAACAAGCTGGTTCTCAGCACGAAGGTGAAACAAGCTAATGTTATAAGGAAGCCACCAGAGACTGGGCTATGAGAGGGCCAAATTTTCTCACTCTACTAGACTGTAGATAACATGTGAGCCCAGCTCAGATGCCATCATCTTTAGGATCACAGGTTTTCTGCCTTGGCCATCAGTTAGCACAACTTTTTCTTACGTGATTTTGTTAAGTAATAGAAACCCAAAGCCCTGACCCCAAACTTTGTTTCCTTCTCATCTTTCTACTTCTGGGTCCAGACACATATAGTCCTGAAGACTAGACCCACAATGAAAGCAGGCAGCAGGGCTGCCCCAAGGGGTCCACACTGTCACAGCCCTTTACGGAAGCATGGCCTGTACTCTGGGGAGACACATTTCCAAAGGCAGGCTAAAAGGAGAAGCCTGCAAGTACTGGTGGGATTAGAGGCATGTGTTTATTCTGCCAGTAGGTGGCCACAGAAGCAAAGCATCACTCATGAGTGGTTCCTAGCACACATCGATGGACATGACTCTCATACTTTGAGGAGGCTTTTTTTTTTTTTGAGACAGGGTCTTGCTATGTAGTGCAGGCTGGCCTCAAACTCAACAATCTTCCTGCCTCAGCCTCCTGAGTGCTGGGATGACAGACATGTGCCACCATGCCCAGCTTGAGGAGGTCATTTATTTGCGTGTCAGTTGAGTCCTTGGGGTAGACTTTTCGGCCTTTGTGCCCTAACAAGGCCCAGCTGTTCATGCTAGAGTAAAGTCCTGCCTCCAGTCCAGCAGGTGGTCACCCTGGGACTTAGACTCTTTGGTCTTGGTTCTTTCTGGGGAGCTGAGACTTAACACACACACGCATCCCATCTCCACAGAATGCCTGACCTCTCCGAGCTCCTGAAGGAAGGGACCAAGGAAGCACATGACCGGGCAGAAAACACCCAGTTTGTCAAGGACTTCTTGAAAGGCAACATTAAGAAGGAGCTATTTAAGGTTTGTGGCAGTCAAACAAAGTTGGATTCCAGACTTTGATATGGGGTCAGGGTGGAGGCCTTAGTCCCTGAGGAAGATGCCCCGGAGCTGTTCTGAAGGAGAAGTTGGGCTTTTCTTCATGTTCACTCATTTTTGGCATCAGCTCTGGCTCTCCTGGCTTAAATGGAATAACATCATGATGTAAAGGAACCAAAAGTGTCTGTGTTCCAAAGAATTCATGTCATTCGTTTGAGAAACAAAAGCTTCCTGGGTATGTTAAGTGATTTACCATATAAAAATGGGTCACAGGTTGGGTCTTTGGGGACTGGAAGGGGTGCTACTTGAGGTTTGGTCTCCAGCCACTCTGGTGTGGTTGACTTTATAAAGTTGTAGCCCTTTCTCACCACCCCCTTCTGTCACTCCTCTAGCTGGCCACAACTGCACTTTACTTCACATACTCGGCCCTCGAGGAGGAAATGGACCGAAACAAGGACCACCTAGCCTTTGCCCCCTTGTACTTCCCCATGGAGCTGCACCGGAAGGAGGCACTGACAAAGGACATGGAGTATTTCTTTGGTGAAAACTGGGAGCAGCAGGTGATGTGCTCTGAGGCTACCCAGAAGTATGTGGAGCGGATCCACTATGTGGGGCAAAATGAGCCAGAGCTGCTTGTGGCCCATGCATATACCCGCTATATGGGGGACCTTTCAGGGGGACAGGTGCTGAAAAAAGTGGCCCAACGGGCCCTGAAGCTCCCCAGCACAGGGGAGGGGACCCAGTTCTACCAGTTTGAGAATGTGGACAATGCCCAGCAGTTCAAGCAGTTCTACCGGGCCAGGATGAATGCCCTGGATCTGACCCTGAAGACCAAAGAGAGGATCGTGGAGGAAGCTAACAAGGCCTTTGAGTACAACATGCAGGTACTGCTGGTACTGACCAGAGCTGGCCTGTGGCTCAGCTAGGAACCTTTTTCAGGGGGAGCAAATTCAGAACTTTCTGGGAGAGCATCCAGTGGCATGAGGACAGATAAACTGCAGTGTGTCCTACATAAAGGCAAGGGAACCAAATTGGCACAGAAGTTTGTGGGCCCAGTACATAGCTTCCAGCATGGAAATCTGGTTTGGTAGAGGCCTGTAGATAGAAGGGAGATGCCCCAGCAGATAAGAGAAGGGAGCTGTCTGTCTCCCTCTCATCACAGGATGCTGGTATTAAGGACTGGATGACTTCTCCCTTTTTAGCAAGTCTTGCTTGATAAGTTCAGCTAGAGCCAGATTCATCAAGGAGAGTAAGCACAATAGCTATTTACAACTAGCCTTTAGTTGGAGGCACGATTGAGGAGGCTTATTTGGGTCCTTAAGCATCATGTCAGTCCTCAGAGCCAAGGAGCAGAGCTATGGGCAAGTGAGATGCCAGGCTGACCACAGTTCCCAACAGCCCTTTAGTATAGCTTCCCAGGGCTACCTAGGACAGGTCTGCCCTGCTATGGCATCTTCTCCCACATTCTCATTTTTCTCTTGTTCCTAATAGCCAGCAGTTAGAAATGAAGAAGTACCAGTAGCTCCTTCACATATGTCTACCCTGATAGTTTTGGTTGTTTGAGCCCCCTCAGAGGCAGCTGGCATGGAATGTGTGTACCTGTTTTAACCCAGGGAACCCACCACAGTGGTTGTCAACCTGTGGGTGCTGATAGCACAGATATGGCCATACCTCTTCAGTTTCTGCTAGGGAGAAGTGCACCAATGTCCTGTTGCTCACCCATGGGGTTGCTTGCTTGGCTAGTCAGCCCCCCTGCGCAAGTGCACTTGCTCCAGCTCCCTGAGTGCGAGCAAAGATAGGGTGGGTGTAAAGCAGTCTGTGTAGTCCAGGGATGGCTGTTGGTCTCTGCTTCTCAGATATTTGATGAACTGGACCAGGCTGGCACCACGCTGGCCAGAGACACCCTGGAAGATGGGTTCCCTGTGCATGATGGGAAAGGAGACATCAGTAAATGTCCTTTCTATACTGCTCAACAGGACAAAGGTAGGTTATGGGTTCCAAGCTCCCCTCCCGGGGTGGGCATGTTATCAGCCCCTACTGATACCATGTCTCCTATTGTACTGCACACAGGTGCCCAGGAGGGCAACACCTGCCCGTTCCGGACAGCCATGAGTGTGCTGAGGAAGCCCAGCCTCCAGTTAATTCTGGCCGCCAGTGTGGCCCTGGCAGCTGGACTCTTGGCCTGGTACTACATGTGAAGGACCTGTCACGCCATACTGGCATCCCTCCTCCCAAGTGACCACTGCCCACCCCTACCTCCACTTATCGACTACCACCTCAGGTGACTTTTTAAAATGCTGGGTTTGAGAAAACAAATAACCAATAAAAAAGCCAGATGCCAGAGCCTCTGCCTGATGGCATCTTCTCTGCAGGCCCTATGCACAGCACGACAGGGCATGCCTGGCCTGGGCCTCTCAATCAGCTTTGCTCCAAAGCTCCTGAACCTCTTGGGCCCCCACACACATTCTCTTCATTCTTGTCTTCATAGTACGTGGGGAGCTATCCTTGTCCTGTTAGAAGTGAGCAGCCAGCATGCCAAGGTTCAGGGGTGGGGGTATCCTGCCAAATGATGCTGCTCAATTTCTGGGTCTCTGAGCCTCTCAGGAGCTTGTGGATGGGCAGAGCTAGGCTTCTCTGCTTCTGCAGCCCTAGAAATTCATCCCTCTCAACTAGGATGCTCATGAGGTCTACTCACCTGGGCTGTCCCCTCTAACCTGTATAAACCCTATAGCACTCAATAAAATGGACTCTGCATATACCCTCCTTCCTTATTTTAAGATAGGGTCTTGCTATGTAGTTCAGATTGTCTTTGACCTCACTATGTAGCCAAGGCTGGCCTCTAACTTCTGGTGATCCTCTTGCTTCAGCCTCCCAAGTGCTGGGATTACTACCATGCCAGGCCCACCTCACACAGGGTGGGTGAAACTTTGTGAGGACCCCAATATACAATAGAGAAGCAGAGTCCTCTGAGAACAGTGGCATGTTGTATCCATGTGGGGAAGGGATATCTTACCTGACAGTCCCGCAGAGCTTTCTTTTGTCCTCATGTGCTCCTCCAGCTCTACCGGTTAGCTCCTAGCACACCCGCCTTGTCACCAAGACTCTGAACACCTTTATCACAAAGATACCATTTATCTGGACCTGTGATTTTTTTTCTCGCTTTGATACTTTGGAGGTTTCACACATCTATCTGTACTTACACAATTGATCTAAAGTAGAAATGTGAAGTTAAATATTTTTATTGATAGGAATCTATTACTATAAAAGTTTTATTCAAAAAGGAGTTTAGTGAGGAAACACTTCTTAAACTACAGATTGAGCACACCACCTTCACAGTTCAGGGAAGTTAGGCCACTGCCAGGTCTAGAATTTGCATGCTCAGACTACATCCTGTTAACCCAGAAGCTGTCTTAAGGGTAGGATGACACCAATCCAAGCTGCGGGGAAGGGTTCTCCACCTTGCAGGTGCTGTGGATGGATACCAAGGTGTGTAGATTGATGGAACAAGTATCTGAGGAAGTAGGGTAACCTTATAGCCACTGCTGAAGCCAGCTCCTGCCCTGGCCTACTCACAGCTGGATTTGCAGGGATGGTCCACGTCAAACTCTGGTTTGGCACAATTGAGTCCTTATGTATCAGTGTTGTTGCCAGACAGCTGGGTTCAGCCCCCTTCCTGCCAGTAGACTTACATATAAGCCCACCCTCTTTCCCTCAGAAAAAGAAGGAAGCCAGGCAAGACAGCAGAGGCCCAGCTCAGGGGAATGAAAGGGCCAATTTAATGAGAAACTACAAACTGAGACCAGGCCACAATTCACAGTGATGGGAGGCCATGCAGTGGCAGTGCGAGACCAGGAGAGGGACAGCAATAGGATACAGCATCCACATGGGCAAATTCACAAACTATTCAGGAAAAAAAGACAGATTTGGGCTATACCCAGGGCAGGGCTGGTGTCTACTAGGGTACTCCCAGCATTTGTGCCTGCTCTTTTCTCATTCCCAGCCCAGTGCCACAGCTGTTCCTTACTGGAGCACCCCAGTGTGAGGGTGAGTACAACGACAGCAAGTCAGCTAAGGGCCCAGCGCTTACTGAGAAGAGAACCAATGCAGAGGGTGCTGCAGATCCCACTACACCTATTAAGGAGTTCCCTCATAAATGCCTTCTGACCTAGCTGGGACACAACAGCTAATGGGAAGAGGATGCACCCACACACAATAAGAACATAGTACACAGGACAGGCTAGGTTTGTGGGGATTCCTTCTGGCCCCAGAAAAATACAGTGGTTCACAGAGATGTGGCCAGAGAGGGGGGTCTGCACACTGACTCAAAGGGAGGTGTGTGAAGGCGAGTCCCTCTTGGCTACCTTACACCAGATGGCTGTTGGGCACATGGACAGGGAGTTAGCAGTTCCTGGGCTTCCATACCTGAGAGTTCTGAGGGCCAGAGTTGGCAGTTATTACTTGTCATGCCCTGTCTCTGGCACTGCAGAGGCACAGCATACACCTTAACAAACCCAGGGCTTAACTCTGTCCTACGTGGGTCCAGGCAGACTCCAAACAATGCCCTACTCTTGACCCAGCAGATCAGAAATGACTGCAGCTCTAGGTATACCCCCCCAAGGGTCCCCAGCCTGGACCCAGCACTACTCTGGCTGTTTTTGGTCCCAAGCAGAGTCAGGACCAAGTTTGGGCCTTGTACGGAAAGGAAGAATGGGAACCCCAATAGGAGGCCCTTCCCAGCTTATCTTGTGGCTCACATATGTCAACCAAACCAGCATCACACAAGCTCAGTGTCACCTACCCCCCGCTGCCACCCATTGGCCCTTGGCCTTCAATCCAACAGAACTTTTGCTGGAAGAGTCAGATGCTCAGGTTAGGGCAAGGCAAAGAGGACAGGACTTTCAGGGGACAGTGGTACAGCTTACTACCCCAAGTGAGGGGGAAATGACCACTGAATGCGGGGAGCAAAGCATGGGGGTAGACTGACAGGCAGATGAGTCCAAGTCTGGCTCCGTCAGCACAGGCGCTTGTATGTATAGATGTAGGCTTTGCAGCTGGGACATGTGTGTGTCACATCCTTGAAGTCATTGATGAGGCAGGGGATCAAGCAGCAGCCCAGATCACACCTGAAGCACAGACAGAAAGAGAGGCTGAGACCTGAAGAGAAGCAGCAGAGGTCCCACCCTACTTGCATACCACACATACCCCATGAAGCAGCAGAAGAAACCCAGCACGAAGTTCATCAGTCCAATCTCGTAGGAGATCTTGGTAGTGATAGCCTGCTGGCAGTGGGGACACACAGTCTGCACAGGTGCGCCTTCAAAGATCTCTCCCTGCAGCACTGTCACCGTGGTGGCAGCCCCTGAAGGGACCAAAACTGTGGCTGTGTGGCCCCCAGGGCCAGGGTAGGCCCCTGGCGGGTAGGGTCCTGATGGGTAGTAGCCCATGGGTGGGTGAGGACCTGGAGGTGGGTAGAAACCTGGAACAGCACATAAGTAAGTAGAGAGGTCTTAGTATACAGGTTGTCTGCCTTGATGAAAGATGAGCACAAAGCCCAGTGCTCCAGCATCTAGAACACAGTCTGAAACTTCCTTCCACCCTTCTAATGGGGGCCACCAAGTGCCAGTGGGAATCTCTGAGCCTAAAGCCTGGCTCAAGATGGTTGTCCACATTTTCCCAGTCCTTCATGGTCCCTACCTCATAGGATCAAGACAGATCTGGCAGAGAGCTGGGAACATGGCCCAGTGTTCCCTTTACTTCCAGGGACTGGATGCTTAAGTGCTTGTAAGGATGAGAGAAGGGAGACCCTCTCCTGCACAGGGGGCCTCAGTGCAAAGGACCAGCTCACTTACTGCAGCAGCATATGCAAGAGTCACAGGCCCTTCTTGGGCTTGAGTACTAGCTCCAAAGAACTGCTGGTGAGTAGAACGCCAGGCCCACACCAAGGGCTTTTAAGTCCTCGGCAGGGAATAAGCTCCGTAGCACTCACAGTCCTCATCATGAGTTGCTGTGACTGAGGGGCCTTCCCTGAACTGGTGTCCTCCAGCATGACAAGCCCAGTGAGACGTCTTGTTCTGTGTCATCCCTTGCTGTGTCCACAGTCTGTGATCAATAACCAACTGTCTCTAGTGAAGGCTGGATGGTAGCTCTCCCCATGCTCCCCTCAGGTCCCTTCCCAACTTACCTGGAGCCATGTAGGCACCTTCTGCACCCATATGGGGGGGGACAAAGCCAGGCTGGGGCATTGGATGACCTGGTGGCTCATAGGGTGGGGGGCCAATGTCTGCAGGGGGCAGTGGCATGCCTGGTGGGGGCTGCATCACAGCTGGGGAGGTGCGGCCTGGACAGAGAGAAAGAGGAGGCTCAGCTGGTCTCAGTACACAAACTGGGCCAGAGGTCACTGTTTTAAGATACAAGAATATCCTGGAGCAGGTTCACCACATAGAGGCCAAACCACCTGGGAAGGAGAAAAGAAAAAGGGGTCTGACAGGGACCACCCCCGGGGGGAAGACTCCTACCTGGGGTGGATGGAGCTCCACTTTTCTCCTCCAGCAGTGGGGCTGTGGGGCCCCCAGGATAAGGAGGGGGTGGCTCATTAGACATCTTTGCTGCTTCCCTTGAACCTGCAAGGAAAACCCAGACATGAACTCAGCCCCCAGCCAAGCTGCTTCCCGCTCACTCTGGGCTATGGCAAGGGCTACTGCACAAGGTCTGTGACCATCCTCAGAGGTGCCCAGCTGAGCCTAAGCCCTTGGCCTCCTATGCTTATCCCACAGGGGTCTGGCCTGCTCAGGGATGTGAGCCAACACCTTTACTTTTCCCTCCATATAAATCTTAAAACTGGAAGGAGCAGGGCTGGTGGGCTGGAACTGAAACCTTCAGAAGTGCCATCGCTGGGCTCCTTGGCACTAGGGCTGACCTACTTTCACCAGGTGTCCACAGAAGAGCCCACAGCTACTATCATCTTCACCTCTCCCCAGTCACCCACACTTCTTTTAGGGCAGGCACTGAAGTAAGACCCTGACCCACCAGTCCTGGGACTCTAACCCTGTTTGGTAGCTAGTTTCCACCCCACTCCCCAATATTCAGGAGATGCTAAGGCTGTCGTGGAGGGGCTGACCACTACCAGAGGCTGCTGTGATTTAGGGGAAGATTTCTCACCTCAAATCTGACACTCAAAGGAAAGCAGATGAAGGTCCCTCAGCTGCTGGCCAGGCAGGGCTCTGGGGAGCTGTTCAGGGGAAGAGGCAGCATCCTCAGCCCAGGAGGGCTGCCAGGTACTAGGTGGGCACACCCCATCACTGTGCCATGTATAGGCCTAAGCACTCTACTCCCCCGCCCACCTCACAAGTCCAGTGTCTCTCCTTGTGCCTGCCCCTCTCTACCAGGCCCAACAGATCCACTTCCCACCATGCATGAAGGAATACAAAATGAGCCAGTCATGGGGTGGGTTAGTCCACTAGCTTGGGGTAGTCCCATTTTGGTTAGTTTGGGAACTGAGAAGGAAGAGAATCAGTCAAATGAAACACATTGGTTTATTCACCAAATTCCTTGAGCACCTACACCCTAGAGGGGAAAGCAAGGAAGCTGGAGGTCTTCTTGCCTCAACTTTTATTTAGCATCATAAAGGAACGACTATTATAGGCATTTTGAAGTGAAAGTGGTACCATGAACTAGAAAAAACTCTACAACAGCATACACACCATAAAAACGGCTCTCCCAGCACAAGCCCACCCACAGCTCTTACACTCCAATCACACAGATAGTTCCGGGGCTGGGGATTTAGCTCAGTGGCACAGTGCCTGCCTGGCAAGCACAACGTTGTGAGTTTGATTCCTGGTACTGGAAGAAAAACAAAAACAAAAAAACAAACAAAAAAACACAGGTAGTTCCACAAGGGAGGCTGGGGTTCATAAATTAATTTTAAAAAGTCAGTTGCAGCGCAAGATCTTAGATTCAACTACAAAGAAACCTGACAGTTTTACTGTGCGTGGTAGCACAGCCCTGTAACCTCAGCACTCAGGAGGCTTACACAGGAGAGCCATGAATTCTAAACCAGCCTGGGCTACATAGTAAGACCTTGTCTCAAAAAAAAAAAAAAAAAAAAGTTTTGAAGAAGATATTGGCATAAATCTTCATGACCAACATCAAAATTTAAAAACTTGCGCTCTATGGTACACTACAGAGTTTTGTAAGCCATCTATATGAAAAAAGGATTTATATTTAGAACATATAAGGAACTCACAACTCAGTAACAAATCATTTTTAAATGGCCAAAAGATTTGGACAGACATTTCTTAAAAGATAAATGGCCAAAAAGCAGACGAAAAGATGAGCACCTTTTCCAAGGGAAATGAAAACCAAATCAAAAATCAGGCATGGTGTCATTGTAGTCTCCAGGTTCTCAAGAGGTTGAGGCGGGAGGATTGCTTTAAGTATACAAGTTTGAGGCCAGTCTGATCAACACAGCCAGAGCATGTCTAAATAAAATCAATCTAACCTGGGCTGGGGATGTCACTCAGTGGTAAAGTACTTGCTTAGCACATGTAAAGCCCTGGACTTAATCCCCAGCTTAAGTACATATAACACATCCACAATGAGATATCATTTTATAGTCTCTAGGTTGGCTACAATTTAGAAAGATGGTAACATGCAGAAAAGGTAGAACCCACACACTGCTAGGGGTGAGGCCCTATAGGCCACACAGCCTGTTGCTACTGTCTGTCTCCACATCCACACTAGTCCTGTCATCTTTCATAACTGCAGCAGGAATGGGGGGGGGTGGGAGTCAGGGAGACTCTTCATGTGAAGGAGGTTATGTGGACAACTCCAACTGCCTTCCAATATAAAACCAATTGATAAGCCTGGTGTGTTGGTGCATATCTATAATCCCAGCACTTGGGAGGCTAAAGCAGGAGGATCAGCATGAGTTCAACCCCAACCTGGGCTATATGGTGACTGCAAGGCCGGTGTGGACTACACAGTAACATTCTGTATCAAAACAAAACAAAACAAAAAAAACCTCTCAGGCCTCAGTTGCAGTGTTGGGTGTCTTCAAGAATTTCTTGGGTAGCTGGGCATGGCGGCGCACACCTGTAATTCCAGCACTCAGGAGGTTGGGGTAGGATCACTGTGAGTTTGAGGCCAGCCTGGGCTACATAGTGAGTTCAAGATCAGCCTGAACTGCATAGTGAGATCTGTCTCAAAAACACACACAAAAAACAAAAAACCACCAAAAACTTGTGAGCTTGACATTCCTGTTTTTACCCATTCTCTGGCTAGCACTATGGATGCCAGGAGTACCATGCTCAGTCCTCACTAAAGCAGTATACCCACTGATCAGGCCAGAGAGGTGGCTCCTACTGTAGAAGCTACCAGCCCTTGAGAAGACAGAGGTACTTTCTAGAAGCTTAAGTATGGGCAGGAGTTGAGCAGTATCCAGAAATACGTGAGGCACAGGTTCCATCCTGGAGCGCAAACCCTGTAGATTAAACTGACCAAGGAGCTGTGTTGCCTCAATACCATTTTCAGGTGGAGGCCAAGTCTTGAAGGAAGGTTCTGGCCTTTGCCAGAGTAGGCCCTAACCCAGTGCAGGTTCACCTTACCTTTCTAAGGGCAGACCTCTGGGGCAGGATACAGTCTGCCACCCTGTGCTCCCAGGCACAGGGCCAAGTACTTTTCTGTAAAGCCACTCTCATTCTTCAGACCTACAGTGTATCCAGATCTTGTTTTGTTTTTGGTACTGGGAATCAAACTCAGGACCTTGCGCTTACCAGGCAGGTGCTTGTTGTGCTGCTGAACTATATCCCTGGCTGATATCCAGATCTTAAATAACATCTGCTGTTTAGTCTGGCCTAGCAGCATGGAGGGCCTTGGGGCCTGCTAGATGCAGGTTCCATCCTACAGTAGAAACCTTTACTTTGTAGCCCAGTGATGGGGCCCAAGCTTTGCTCCTCCTCACCCCTTCATGTAACTGTGGCATAAAGTATACACTTCCCCTTCACTTAGCCCAGCACACACTAAACAGGTCATGCTCAGCCTTACTGCCACACAGGCTTTGCTTCTCCAGGGAACTGCCAGCTGGGGGTGTTACCAGTAGTGAGGATAGAAGTGACATTTTGAAATGCCTGTGGTGGGTTTTAGGGTACACATGGTACCATGAAACTAAGCAAAATTACCATATTGCCCCATTCCTCAATCCCAGGCTACACAGACTGTGACTCAGCTCTGAGAAAAGAACCATCTTCTAATATAGAATTGATGTGGAACCAAACCTGAGACCTCATCTCCCTCTCCCAGTGACAGTAGAAAAGACTAGCTCACATCAGGCCACCAGTGAACAAGGAAGACAGTGAGAATGGACAGTGTGGAGTTCTGGAGCCAGACTAACCTGGCTGCAAATCCAGGACCTTGGGCAGGTCACTTTCCTATGTGAACTGAGACTAAGACACCTGTCTTTGAGTCAGGCCTGTGCAAACCTCAGACCCCAGCAGACCCCTTCTTATTGGGGGAGAGAGGTGCTGCTTATTAAGAGGGTTAAAAATGTGGAATAAGATTATAGTGATGGTTGCACAACTTTGTGAACATATTAAAAGCACTGAACTCTAATGACAGGGTTACATTCTGAGAAAGGGAGTGTTAAGTGATTTTATCATTGTGCTAATGTTATAGATTATACTTATACAAACTTAAGATGGCTATGACATTACTAGGCAGTATCATCTTATGGGACCTCATCATATTTGCATATATGCAGTTCATCAATGACTAAAATATTATGTAGCACTTAACATCTGAAAGGAATACAATTCCAGGACAGGTTGGTGAAGGACAGCTTTAACATGAGTGGGCAGGGAAAGGAAGGGGAAGGTTCCCTGCTTTTCATAGAGGAGCTCCAAGCACAAGCCCTCAAGGTCCTGGGAACTGCCTCTGATGTTCTGTTCCACTCCCAAATATTCATTATTCTCTGTGGAGAGCCTTGCAATTGATCCAAAGCCAAAGGCAGGCCAGTGGGCAGCAGCCTGCTTGCCACTGCAGGGCCCCTTAGAGGGAAACAGCAGGATACACACCTCCTGGCTATAGCTACTGCTGCAAGGTTGGTGGACAAACTCGTTTATCCAATTGAAACTGTCCTATGCACTGCAACTGGGGGTCCAGCTGGGCACCCTCTGCTGTCTCTGAGTACCTGTCAGCAGATAAATTTTTGTGGAAGAAAGTTAAGAGAAGAGAGGGAAGCAGCATGATAAAGCTTGAGATCCACAGGGAAAGCCAGCCTGGCTGGCTCTATGAGTAGGCTCTCTTGGAGACAGGACAGACACTAAGGGGATGAAGCAGAAAGGTGACAAAGAGGACAAGCCCAAAGAGACTTCCTGACACTGGTTTCCCCAGGGTCTGGCACAGTAGTAATTCTCAAACATTTTGGACTCAGGACTCATTTACACTTGATAACTAAGGACTTCAAATAGATTTTCATTTTGTGGGTTGTATCAATATCACACTAAAAATAAAAAATGAATTTAAAAAAATTAATTCAGGATCTGGAGGTATATGTAGTTCAGTGGTACAGGGCTTGCCTAATATACTCAAAGACCTGAGTTCAACCCTCAGTATCACAAAAAAAAAAGGAAAAAAAAATCACATTGTTGATATCAGCACCAGTATCAGAAAAGTTTAAATACTTTATTGTGAAGTGGACTGTGGTAGAGCACTTGCCTAACATGTGAAAGGCCCTGGGTTCCATATTTAGCACTACAACAACAATAACAGAAGGTTCTGACCCCCAGCCAAAGTCTCAGCAAGCCCAAGACTGAAGATCACATTCTGAGACTGGCCCATTGGAATGTAAGTGAGTATAACACTAAGTCCCTAAAGCAGGGTCAGGGCTCCTCGCCAGAGGGACCAACAGTGGCCTTGTGGGCCTTGAAGTCCCTTCTGGGGAGGCTGAGCCTGTTGTTGTTCTACCTGGGCCATACTCCAGGGAGGTGCTTGCTACCACCCAGAGACTTCAGAAGCCAGCCATCAAGACATGGCTCTGGATCAAACCAGATCAAATCCAGCTCAGCCACTGTCTAGCTGTGTGGCCTGTGAGCCTCAGTTTCCTCATCTGTCTACCTCTCAGGGTAGCAGTGTTTAAAAGAAAATGTGTAAACCAGGTGTGGTAGCACATGCCTGTAATTCCAGAACTAGGAAGGCTGAGGCAGAAGAGTGGCTGTGAGTTCAAGGCTAGCCTTAACTACATAGCGAGACCCTGTCTCAAAAAACAAACAAACATGCGCAAAGCTTCTGTTGTAAGAGTACAGGGCTGGTACACAAGAACACTAAACAAATGGAGCCTACTGTTGATTGTGAATGACTGCCAACAGGCACCAGTGACTCTGCCCTGTGGCAGATATGGTCCCAAAAGCACTGATTCCAGGAGACACTTGGCTCAGTCCCACAGTATCCCCCTGTGCTATCCATTCCCAGCACAGCTGAGGCCACACCCTCTATAGATAACTCTTTGTAAAGACAGAGGTACTAGCAATCCCCAAAGGGCCAACTCCCTTGTCAAACTTTTTTCTTGGACATGTAGGACTTGACTGGAGGTCACAATGCCCCAGGGAAGGCATCCCACCTAAGAGGTTGTGGCAGGGGGGCCAAGCAGCAGCTGCTTCAGAGCAGCCTTTCTCAGAGCTTGGCTGGTTGCCACTGCCATCCCAACATGAGCTCCTCGAGGCAGCCTTGGCACTAGGATGCCAGCTGGCCCCAGAGGGGCTTCTCTGTTCCCAGGAGGCAGGTCCCAGGCATCTGGCCAGGAGCAGGGATTTCTGCTTTGCTGGGGAGACTGAAAGTCAGCTGTCAGCCCTGCCTACAGCCTCCCATCTGTTGAACACAGAGGCATCCACTGAGAGATGGGTAAGGTGACCATGTGGCATGAAAGATCACTGTGATAGGCATTGTTACCTGCAAGGGATGGCCTTTGACTCCCTGAGCACCACATAGAGCTGTTCTCTGTCCTGTTCCAGCAGGCAACCCAGGAATGAGCTTATGTATAATCTGTGCAGTGGCCACTTAAAAAGAGCCCCTGGGAAGAGTAAAGTGGGCAAGGGCGGTGTTCCCTCTTAGACAATGGAACCGTTGTCGCTGGCTGCCATGTCCAACGACTTGAGAAATCCTGATTGTGGCCCATGTTCCATTTTCCTGGTGATGCAGAAGCAGCATGAGAAAGACAGTGCCTCCTCAGACAGCATCACTGGTGGGTCTAAAACATTTATTTTTATACTTGAACATAAATGTATGTGATGCTTGGAAATGCTAAACACATTAAGACACAGAAGGCATCAGAAAGCAGAACTGGCTTTCCCATCTGTCTGCTCTCTTCCCACCCAGACCTACATGTCATGTGCCTACCTCCTAATTAGTTTTCCACCTCAACGGAGCCAATATACTAGTCTAATTCACCCCCTCCCCACTACCAAGAGAAAAGAGCCATGAACCACAGATGAAGCTCAGGGGCACAATTGGGGCACAGGCACTAGGTCCTGGCCATATGACTTTTCATAGTCTCGGTTTTCTCATCTGTAAAATGGCAGCAATAGTCCTGCCCTGGAGCTGTAATGAAGCATAAAGGACTGTATATGAAGAGCACACAGCTCAAAGCCTGAATGGCAGCATTCAATAAATAAAAACAACTTTGTCATTTGTATCTATGGAGGTACAAAAACCATGAGAAAGTACAAAAGAAAAAAGAATACACTGGTTGCTCTTCAGCAGAAGAAAAACTAAAAGGCAGATGGGGCTAATGGTTTTGGGGTTTTTTATTTGTTTTCTAATACTGAATAGAAGGCAGGGGGTGCTAAGCTACATTCTTAGCTCTTCTAATCATTTTTAAATTTTGAGACAAGGTCTTGCTAAATTGTCCAGGCTGGTCTTAAACTTGCAGTCCTCTTGCTGGAGGCTCCCGAACAGCAGAGATCATCATGGGCATACACCACCATGCCTGGTCAGGACTAATGGTTCCAAATTAAAAAATAAAAAAATGGTAAGATTTCTAGGAATTATGATGACAATGACTATCACTGTACAATTTGCATCATGCTGAATTCTTGTCAAACTTCTTGACAAACTGTTACTCTTTCACTCCCTGAGACCCAGTGTCAAATGGAGGAGCCACAGCAAAGCTTAGTCCCACTTTTCTGGAGGACAGTTATGTTACCTACACATTTTTTTTTTTGAGTACTGGGAATCAAACTTACAACCTTGCGCTTGCCAGGCAGGCCCTGTGCCACACATTCTTTTTGATTTATTAATTCCATTTCAGTGTTTTTACCCTGGAGACAAAATGGACATGTGAACATGATTCCCATGCAAAGCTGTTTATATGCATCACTGACTTGATGCCAAAGGGACAGTTAAACCCACCTGCTCTACTGGTGCAGTGTAATTGTATTCACTCCCTAAAAATGACATAGATGTACTTTTTACTGACATGGAAAGATGGTCTTGACAAAGCACTGAATAAAAGGTTGTAAAGGAAGTATGTATAGCATGATTCTACTTTAGTTTTCTTAGGGTAGTGAGATTTTGGGTTGTTTACAGATAAAAACAAATACAGAAGCTCTTTCTTTGTGTGTAATTTCTAGTTTTCTATAATGAGCAGTTCCTTTAACTCTTTTCTCAAAATGCTTATTATAACTGAGATAAATTTGTTATTCCTCCTCAACCCACAAAGATGCCTGGGACTGTGATATAGTCTACAGGAGAAAATGCTCAGTGAAACAAGCCCAAGGGCTGGCTGTCCAGCAGTTCTCCTTCTCAGAGGTCTGGCTAAAAACCCAGTCTGTGTAATTTCAGCACTTTGGAGGCGGAGGGAGGAGGACTGCCACAAGTCTGAGGCTAGCCTGGGCTACATGGTGAGTTCAAGTCCAGCCTAAACTATGTAGCAAGACTCTATCTCAAAAAAAAAAAAAATTCAGTATAAGAAGTTGGCATAAGGCCTCTATGTGGGTCTCACTTGAGTAGCATGAATCCTGTCTCCCTACCAAATCACCTTGGGTTGCTCCAGGCAAATTGAGGCTACAGACTTGTCAAGTCACACTGGCCTGAGAGACCCTACCTGGAGAGCCAGTAGGAGGTCACCAGCAGCAGAGGGCAGATAAGAAAATCCCCATGGGACACCTGATACAACCGAGAATCATAAGGTTACTGTACTTGCTGCAGCCATGGCTGGAGCCACCTGAGAATACAGCACACCTTCAGCCTGCTGAACTGCCTCTGTGCTTGGGAGCTTGCTTCTGCATGTCTTGCCATACGAGGAAGTAAAGAGAAAAGGGGAAATGAGAACGAAAAACCAGGAAAACAGCTATAGCTGCAACCAGAACTAGTGAATAAACAAGTCATTGGCACCTGTTGCACAGGCAGGACATGGTAACTAAGGCCACCTAATTTTAGAAACATCATGAGCCTAAAGAACTATCACTTAAGCAATCAAAATGGAGCCCCCCCTACCCCCAAAAAATCTTACCTCAACCTGCACTGAGCTGACTCAAATGGACAGTCTTTGGTTGACTATTTAACCAGTTGTGGCCAGGTGAGATCAAGATGTATCTATCCTGACCTACAAAAAAGCACAAGGCCTTTAGATGCAGTCATGATATGTAGTCAGGACAGTCATGGCCACCAGATTTTATTCAGCCAGCACCCACTATGTGTCAGGCCCTTTCCTAGGCAATAAAGGTGGAGGAATAGCTATCTTAATGGAACTTACATGGGGGGGCACACTGTAAACCCAGAAATATAGAGAATACTATACAGTGACTTAGAAGAACAAAAAATAGGGGAGTGGAGAGGAATTCTAAACAGGAAAATGGAGAGAAACTCTAAACAGGTAAGGCTTCACCAAACAGGGAACATTCTGGCACAGGTCTGAGGAGATGGGCCATGTACAGACTGTGGGGGAGAGTCCAGGCAAAGAGAAATTAACTGCAAAGGCCCACCCAAAGCAGCTAAGCAGAATGGGTCGGGGAGCTGAGTGCGCGATGGGAGGACTAGGTCCTCTCGCCATGCAGGATGCCCACTTTTTTTTTTTTCCTGGTACTGGGAATCGAATCACGACCTCACGCTTGCCAGGCAGGTGCTATGCCACTGAGCAAAATCCCCAGCCCCAGGATGCCCACTTTTACTGAGTGAACTGAGAGGTTTCTATAGGGAACGGGAAAATCAGACTGTCCTTCACAAGTCTCTACTTCCTAAATTCTGTGTGTTGTACTAATATGGACCTCTGAAGCTCTTGATATCAAAACAAATGGCTAGTAGAGATGGGAATCCTAGAGTATTTGACCACCACCTCCTGCAGGTGCAGTTCCTTTTTGGCCAGCCTGACTGAGGTCACAGAGAAATGAGTAATGGTGTGGCTTCTCTCCAGGCAAAGCAGGCAGATAGACACACAATGAAACCTGAGTTTGACTATACTGGGGGATGAAACACAAGGCCCAAGCCTTGGGGGACACAGAATGCTGAGAAATGTCACTTCAGGCACCAAGCAGGACAGGATTCTTCAGGTTTGAGATAAGCCGGTTCTTTTCTGGAAAGCCATCACTACCCAAGTTCCTTTCCTTTTCCAAGCAACTACCTCTTTGAAGACTCAAGGTTCATGACTCCTTAATTCAGCCAACAATTCACTGACTCTGTAGATCAGTGGTGGCAAACCTATGGCATGCATGCTGTTATCACTGAAAGCTCTAAAAGGTTCACCATCACTGCTCTAGATCATTTGCCTCATAGTCCTTACTCTCAAGAAGCTGCAGATCCACCTGGGAAACAAAGTCACACTTGAGAAAAATTTTACAAAATATACCCACATACTCCAGCTGCAAGAATGGGAAGTGTATAAGGTAGGACTGGGATGGCTTCTGGGCCTTGCAGGAAGGTGGGCAGGTAATTCCAGGTTCAGGGCATTGTCACTCACAGCAGGAGGATTTGAAAGTTATGCTCACAGGCCCAGTTTCCTAGCCAGACATACAGCTCTGGAGAGTCAGAGGCAGTGTTTGAGGGTAGTTTCCCCATAGCACCTGGCAGTACCTGAAATATACTGGCTGAGAAGGTGGACACCACAGCTTGGCTGACACTTCTAGACAAGGGTTCTCCATCTTGAGCTATACCCTAGTCACCAAACAGAATGGCTGAAAGGGCATTTCAGGTTTTTCTCTTCCCCTTAAACTCAACCAGTTGGCAAGTCCTCCTAACTCTTATGTTTCAAAAAGTGCTCAGAACCACCTATGTCATCTGATGGTCAAGGTTTAAAGGAAAAGTCTGGGTTCAGCCTTGTGTCCCAGACCTACCACAGTCTGTGACAGCTGCACCACAGTTTACCTTACACTTTTCCAAACCATCTGTACATGTCTGGTGAATAAATGAGTTTGGGGGTAACCTTAGTGGACTTCCTATGCTATTCCTAACTCAAATGCCCACTATCCAAAGTACCTAGATCAGAGCACCAGCCATAGATAAGATGAACTCCACCAGCTTCCTCCTGAAAGTGCCTGTTTGTGGCCAAAATATCAAAACAACAAAAAACATCGTGTCCTGAATCATTACCAATTCCATGCGGGCAGTAATCACAGTGGGGCTGGAAAAGCTCACTTTCCTTTGTCCTCTCTTCCTTTGACTCCCACTGTTTCAAGAGAGTAGGGTGTACGGCCCTGCCCTGCCATTATTTGGCAACCTCAAGTAAGTCACTTAGAAACTCTGCATCTTCATTAGATGTGTTAATCGTGCCTGTCCTACTCCTGAGATGACAAGTGAGAAATGGACCAACAGGAACCATACATATATAAAGGCCCCACACTACTCATAAATTCTTTCCTTTTATTTTCCCAACTGTTAAGGCTGTTACACTTAATGTCAGATGGAACTGTGACAATTGTTCACATTCTTCCTGAAGGAACAGGGGTTAGAATTCTCAAACACCACTCAAGGCAACCTTTGCACTTTTTTCTACCTACTTCCACTGCTCTATCTTCCTTTTCTTGCAAGAAAAACCGAGACATTACAACTACACCTGAATTCAGACTGAATTAACATTTACTAAACACATTATGCATCAGGTATATTCATAGTTTTTACTGAAACCTTGTGACACTTCCTTGCAATAAGAACCGACAGTGATGGATCTACCAATGGACAGACCAAACAGCACCAACAAATCAGGAAAACAGAAAAGATGACAAGCAATGTTTTCTGGGAAAATAAAAAACATCACAACTGGCTCTTGTAGAAAGTATGTTGTCAGGCTTGTTTACCCTACATTGGATGGTTTTTGTGTTATTTTTATTTTGTCTAACGTCAGGGAACCCTCACCTTCTCAGTACTTACAGTGGATACAGGTCTTCTGCATCTGGCCTAGGTGTTGCTTTCCACCTCCCACAAATGTGGTGAGCAAGCCCTGGGAAGGCCAAGTGACTTGTAACCAGCTTCAGAGTCACAAGGAGGGGCCACCAATGTGGTCTGCTGATTCAAAGTCTATGCAGTACTGGTCCCCGGATCCCATCATTATCTCTCAAGCACTGATGATGACTCACAGAGCAGGAGAGGCAGTGGGCAGACGCAGTAGGCTCAGAGGCTCAGGAACTGGACAGACCAGCATCTCCTGAGGTGGATGGCCCTCCCGGGGCTGTGTGGCCAGCCCCTGGCCTGGCTCACTTTCCGCTCTCCAGCCCTATATTACAATGCAGCCTCCACCACCTCCTAAAGAGATGGTATTTGGGAGAATCCTGACAGGGTGCAGATGGAGACAGAAGTCTTTTGTAATGTCTAAAAATGGGCACATTTCCATTTTGTGCAGTCTAATTCCAGTTTCCCTTATGGAACAAGAAACTTTCCCTCACCACTGCCAGTCTAGCTCTTACCTTCTTTCCCCAAAAAGGGCCAAGGTCCTCCACAGAACTCCCCCAGCCTGCTGCCTTCTCACCAGCACTTTCTTCACATACAGGTCATAGACATCAACCTAAAATGCCATGACTTTACCACACTTCTTGAACTGTGTTCTCAATGAATAAAATAAGTCCTTGCACTTTCAACAGTGTTTCTGAAAGTAGAGAGGAATTTTCATAGGGCCTATCTCTTCCTCTTCACGAAGTGAGGGAATGGTGTGTCTATGGAATTAAATACCTAAAAATACTTAAAAGGGACTCAAGCTATGACTTCTAATTCATCAGCACTGTGAGCTTGCCAAATGTGCTCTTCGGTCCTGTTCTCCTAGAGTTCAGAAAACACATACTAGCTAGGTGTAGTGGGACATGCCTATAACCCTAGTACTTGGGAGGCTGAGGCAGGAAGATTTCCATGAGTTCAAGGCCAACCTGAACTACATACAAGACCCTGCCTAAAACAAAGAAAACACACATCAAACAAATGAGTAGGTACAAGCTGGGCAAGCTTACAGTGTACAAAGAACCAAGAGAATATGCAAGTAGATAACTAGATTATTGCCACCACAATCTGCTGGAGCAAATGGTCTTTGGGACACATTCCATTCTCTCTCCTTCAAAACAATTTTGTTCCCAGAAGTACTCTTCACATTCTATGTTTCTGCTTTTAGGGTGATTCTAGAACCATGGCTAGCGGTTTTTAAGTCATTGTAAGATCAGATGTGAAGGACTTTCCTGCTTCCCCACACCCATCCAGTGGAAAAACCTCCAAACTCCTTAAGGGTGGAGGTAGACAGACTTTCAAACACCCAGGACCTGTGTCGGTTAAAAACCAGAATTCTAAGACTCCAGTTAACGATATACATGCTACAATAATAGGTTAACTATGCGTCCTGGGCGATGGTCTGCAGACATATACTGTAAAATTCCTGCTGAATACTTCAAAATTTTTCTAATTAAATGTGGGGGTGGCAGGGTCTTCTGAAATGGTGAGCGACTGAAAATACCTTTCCCATTAAGAGCCGAGGGCAAGCAGAGCTGACACATTTTTCCCCACCCAACTCTGGTCAGCTCCAAGGAAAGAAAGTACCAAGGAGAATAAGCAGTCCTTGTCTAGGAATGGTCCTGCTCGCATCAGGCTCCAGAAAACATACAAAACTGGCAGAAATGCTACCGAATGCTCTCTCTCCAGGACCCTTGATCCTCACTTTGAGAAACAGGTTCTTAGTCCCAAGTGTATGTGAAAATTATCCAGGAAGCTTATTAAATACAGATTCCTGAGCTGCAGTCTGGAACTACCGAACCAGAGCTTGACGGGTGGAGGAGAGCCCTAGAATCTATCTTTTTATTAAGGGCTCCAGGTCCTTCTGAGACAGAGGGTCCTCGGCCACTCACTCCATCTTCCCTGACACCTGTTGGGAGGCCCCCGGGAACCCACCTTCCCGACGTCCTGCGTGGCGCAAGACCGGGCAGTCGGCCGCCTCTCCTACCGGCCTGCGGGAGCGCGGCGCACAGCCACGTCCCGACCCGCACGAGACCGCGGGCCGGCGGGGGAGGGACAGTGTGGCGGGCTCCTTCGGGACCGCCAAGGTCACCTGCAGGGCCCCTCGGCGAAGCGACCTCCCTCCCACCTCGCCACCCCCCACTCTCTGGGCAAACAAGCGGTCGGTCCTTCCCCTCCCTTCTCATTTCCTGCGGAAAAACGACACAACCTTCCCTCACGTACAACTTGGAGAGGCGTAAGAGGCACCAGGCTCGAGGCCGGGCCCTCGGGACGACGGCCCTGTGACTCCAGACCCCAGCCTGGGAAGCTGCCGCCGCCGCCCCGCAGCCGCAACCGCACCGAACCCCCGGCCTACCCTGGGCCCAGCAGCGTCTCGGTAGGGGACGGGCCCGCCGCGCCGCCCCCGCCCTCTTTACCTCCGAAGCTGGGCGCCCTAAGCCGGCCCTCTGCACGCAGAGACGGGCCCGGTCCTGCCTAGAGCTCCGAGGAGACCCCTCAACGCGGGGGTTCTGCGCGCACACCGCCCCCGCGCGCCCAAAGGCACTGGGACTTGTAGTCCGCGCGCGTGCCCGAAGGCCGCTAGGATTCGCAGGCTGCCAGTTCGCCTTCGGCGAGCCCGGAGGCGAGGCGCCTACAGGACCCGGCGTGCACCGCGCGGCGCCGCGGGGGGGGGGCCGCGGCCGAGGTCATCCCCCACCAGAGGGGCGCGACGCCCAGCCCGTCTGACGGGGGTGTAGGTGGGGGCTCCACGGGAAGCCGCCCCGGGCGCGCAGAGGCGACTCACCGTCCCCGCAACCCCTCAGCGGCAGCGGGCGCTGCAGCAGAAGCGGCTGCCTGAGCAGCCGGCCGTCTCGCCCCGTGAGAGGAGGCGGGTACGCTTTGGAGAAAGGCCCAGGACCCTGGCGTCGCGGCGAGGAGGCGTAGCTTCGCGTGACACGTGACGGGTTTGGGTGACGTCGCCCGGGACCGAGTCTCCTCGCAGGCTGAGCACGTGGGGGCTCGGGCTGCGTTCGCGGAGCGGAAGGCTGGGGAACGGGAAAGGGTACTACTTGCGACCCCATCTTCCGCCCCCCGTGCGCCTTCCTGCTCCTGGATCGCCCTTTTTTGCCTTTGTCGTACAAATGTTTATCGAGTTTAGAAGCTGCACATAAAGTCATGAACTACCCGCGGGCCGTGGTGGCGCGTGCCTGTAATCCCAGCTCTCGGGAGGCTGAAGCAGGAGGATCGCCGCGAGTTCAAGGCCAGCCTGAACTACATAGCGAGACCCTGCCTCAAAAAAACAAAAACAAAAAGTCATGTACTACCCAGTTGCTATCCCTTCGCACAGAGTTTCCACTCTGACAGATAACATACCGTATAAATACATCACAAAACACACAAGGACAAAACACCCAGGACTGCAAAGAAAAACAAGATGCCCCAGCAGGGAATTATGGGATGATGCCTTTGTTAGAGTAAATTAAGGAGCGAGTAGAGCCACCAAGTCAGGTGAAGTTGAAGCAATAAGTTTATTCCAGCCTGGGTGCAGGCGGGCTCAGGGCTATATGACCGTTGGCCTTGTGAGGGTGCGCGGTGGGAGGGACGGTTGCAGGGGTGTTTGGATAGGGGAGGAGTATGACGGGGAGGAGTGGGAAACTTTCAGTTTGGGTCTCGGGGAGCTGGGAGTCTTGGTGACATCCATTATCTTGCAGGTGCGGCTGCATAGGGTAGTTGCTTATCATCTTCTTTGCAAGCTCTGGGCTCCTGTTATCTCTGTGTCTCTGCGTATGCAGTCAGCGGCTCCGCTTGGGGAATTTTTTTCTTCTCTGTCCAGGTGGGGGTCTGACATTCGTGCCTTTTTATTATGAAAGAAAAAGGAAAAGAAAAGAGGGGGCTCAGGTGAAGTTTCTCATAGCTACTTCCGGCGTGCCAGGGGGTGAGTGAACAACCTATGGAAAAACAGGAGAAGAGGAAAACAGAGGTTGGGGCTGTACTCTCACGGGAGTGCCATGTATTGAGGGGTAGTAAGAATTGTCTTGCTGTCAGCGCTTGCACTTGGTTTTCCATAAAACCAGGTTAAAGTTGGTTAAAAATTTTGTGCGGCAGGGCTCAAAGAGGAGGATTATAATAATTGTGTCTGTGAGGGCCTAAGATTGGCATAAGCCATGTAGTCTAGCTGCTCCAGGAAAATGGCCAGAAATTAGACTGATAAGGGGGTCTGTAGTTTTAAAGGCTTTCTGGGGGTGGAATTTTGTTGTAAGGCTGCTTGGGAGTCTAGAATAACGTCTTCTGCTGTAGGTTTTTGTTTAAAGCAAGGGTGGGGCAGCCGTTGGGCTTTGGTGTTCCGTAGAAAGACCTCGCGCCATGATTTAACTCCTGCAATGTGGAGAAGGACCTTCTCTAGATGTATTGCCTCAGGCCTGACCCAGCCATGGTTGTTGGGTTCTGGAGGAAGTCCAGCAAAAGCATTGTTGGCCCCCGTACAACACTAGATGCTTTTCTGAGATACGCCCTAAGGTACATAACATGATGGCTTACCGGTCAAGTCTCATTGCTATGATAATGGAGTTGTATTGGCCTTGCAAAACCGGTTGAGATCGCCCGAATTCCGAATTCCAGGGCTGCTTCCTTTGTTCTCGCTGAGTAAGAGGTTACTGGAGATAGCGGTCCGGGCTTGAGTCCAGAAGGCGACTAGCTCCCTGAGCCCAGATATCTGGCTCTGGACTTGTTCTTTGGAGGAGGGGATTAATACATCCGAGGGCACCTCGTTCTGGGCACCTGTTCACCCTTGACAGGGACAGATGAATATTCCGGCACTGTAAGGTTTTATCATCCTGTATGTCAGGGTGATAGCTGAAGTTGGCCAGCGCCCAGAACCTAAGAGGAGCAGGGGCACCTTGAGGTGCCTGAGATGAAAGGAGAAAGACAGACCCAGCAGTCCCTGGCCAGGTTAGGGTTTGCTTCCTGTAGAAGGGTTAGGGTTAGGGTCCTAGTGGGGTAAAGGGGAAGGAGACCTGATCGTTGCTGGTTTACTGGGGAGGAGGGACAGCAGTGCTAGGGTTTGAGTGATGGGCATGGTGACAGGGGTTATATCTGAGGGCGCACAGTGGGGCACAGCCTCACCAGAATGAGGTAGGTTAGGCCAAAAAGGCCTCTTGTAGGGTGGTCCGGTCAGCGGGAGTGAGTGACGCTAGGCCTGTAGCAAATAGGAGGGCTCGGAAAATGTAGATGAGCCGGAAAGGGAGATGACAGTACATGTGGGGAACCTAGGCTGAAGGGGTAGCCGGCCAGAGAATGAGAAGAAATGTAAATAGGTGTGCCTCGTCCGGGGAGAAGTTGTAGAGTCCCTTGGAAGAGCCTCTAGACAGAAAATGAGGTGGTAAGAGACCGGGGATGTAGCTCTGTGGCACAGCACCTGCCTGGCAAGTGCAAGGTCCTAGGTTCGATTCCTGGTACCAAAAACAAGAGAGAAAATGAGGTGGTGAGGCAGAGGCACGGAGGTGGAAAGGAAGAGAAGGGCCCTTGAGCTGGACAGGTGAGCTGGGTGGAAGAGCAGGAAGCCAGTGTCAGCAGCATGGTGAGGGTGCTGGAAGATAGGCTGGATCCAAATTATTGGGGCCTTGAAGGCTATTCTAAGGAGTTTGGAATTTATTATAACTGGAATCTTCAGCCCTTGAAGAGCTTTAAGCAGCATAATTTTAGACAGTTTTCATTATTCACAGATTTGCCTGCTCGCTAGCATTCGTTTTTGACCCCAGATCATCACTTGAGGCACCTTCTCATTCATTTGTGGGCGTACCATCCTGCACATTCTCACTGGGCTCCAGGAACGGTGCTTTCTGTCTACAAGGGGTATATTTTGTGCCATGTTTTCTTATTGTTGTTGATTTTGCTATTTAAAGTAGCTCCAAATGTAGGGCTGAAGTTCTGTCTAGGATTCCTAAGTGTAAGAAGGTTATAACATAGCTTTGTGGGGCTGGGGATTTAGCTCAGTGGCACAGCACCTGCCTGGCAAGCGTGAGGTCCGGAGTTTGATTCCCAGTACCGGGCCGGGGGAGGCGGGGAGGGACAAAAAAAAAAACATAGCTTTGTGAGAAAATGTATTAGATAAACTTGGTTCAGGCTTGCCCTTGAGTCAGCTGCACTAAATCCCCAACATAGATATAAATACAAATATTCAAAAACCAGGTTTTGTATTCAGTGGTTGACAAAAATACTGTGATTGGAGATTCATAGGAACTTAACATAATATGTCCCCTAGAAGCAGGGCTTCAGTATTCATTAGTGTTTGTGGAAGCTTTATAGAATGTAAGTATCTCAAATAGTGAGACTCTCTCTATACAAGGCGTGATCAAAAACTACAGTGGATATTTAAATTTTTTAAAAATTTAGTACCATTCATTCCCCCTCAGAATACTCCCCTTTGCTTTGAACACGCTTATCCCATCGTTCTGTGATTTTCTCAAGCAGTTCTGAAAGTCTTCTTTCGTGAGTACTGTCTTTAGTTACACTGATGTGGCTACCTTAGTGTCCTGAGTTGATGGAAAATGTTTATCTTTCATGGTTATTTTACCTTTGGGGAAGAGCCAGAAGTTGCTTATTGCCAGATCCAGTTAATGAGGTGGATGGAATGTACCATAATGTTTTCAGAAGCTGCTGGGTGGCACTTGGCAGCAATGTTCACCATATTTTTTATCATGCCTGGCAAAGACACGAAAGAGGACTTCCACAACAACTTCAGAAAGTGGCAAGAATGATGGGGTAGGGGCCAAGGGTGTAGTCCAGTGGTAGAGCATTTGGCTAGGGTGTGTGAGGCCCTGGGTTCAATCCTCAGCACCACCACCCCCAAAAAATGAATGATGGAATAAGTGTGTTTGAAACTAGGGAAAATATTTTGAGAGGATTAATGGCAGTGTCTCTTTTACTGTAATTAAATTTTTTATTCGAACACATACTTTAGCTGGGTGTGGTGGCGCATGCCTGTAATACCAGCATTCAGGAGGCTGAGGCAGGAGGATCACTGCAAGTTCGAGGCCAAGTGAGTTTGAGGCCAGCCTGAACTGCATAGTGAAACCCCGTCTCAAACAAACAAACAAACAAACAAACAAAAAACCAGAATAAACACACCTTGCTGGGCATGGTGGCACACACCTATAATCCCAGCGCTCAGGAGCCTGAGACAGGATGATCGCTGTAAGATTGAGGCCAGCCTAGGCTACATAGTGAATTCGAGACCAGCCTGAACTGCATGGCAAAACTGTGCCTCAAAAAAAAGCCAAAAAAACCCCAAAGAAACAAAAAACCATATACCTTATTTTTTATCAGACCTTGAATGATTTAATGGATTTTTTTCTTTTTTGTTTTTTTGAGACAGGTTCTCACTATGCAGTTCAGGCTGATCTGGAGCTCACTTCATAGGCCAGGCTTGTCTCCAACTTGTAATGATCCTCCTGCCTCAGCCTCCTGCGTGCTGGGATTACAGGTGTGCACCACTATGCCCAGTTTAACTGATATTTTTGAAGCATCATTCTGACTACTCTGACCAAGAGGGGCAATAAAAAGCTAGAGAAATCCAGGCATGGTGGAGCGTGCCTATAATCTCAGCACTCAGGAACCTGTGATAGGAGGATTGCCTCCAGCTCAGTCTTGGCCAC